CCTCCCTTTCCAGTTTCTGGTAATTTTTGTTTCTACTGGTGAAGGCTTCTCTGCCCCTCATCCCACTAATTCTTTCCATGCTGCCTTCACCTGGATAAATAACCCCTCTTGGAATTTTCCTAATCGGAGTTCAGCATCTGCTTCCTGTTGGGACCCTGATTTATACAATGTTTCTCTGCTCCCAATATTTCCAGGAAACTGGCAGTTAAATTTGGAGGCCTGACCAAATTCAGATTAAAAATTTTTTGTAAGATACTTCATGAATGGTGTTCAATATGTTATACTGCCTCACATCAGAAAGCACCTAATATCTGTCCATTATAAAGATACCTTCAGCTTTTCACCCGATGGTTTCTAGCAGGGGTTGATGATCACGGCCCCTTGCCATTATCAGGAGTTAGACAATAGTGGTATTCTATCATTCTTTCTTCATATATTAGCTGGAAATCCTCTATAAAGAAAAATTCCCTTATCGTCTATTTGTTTACCATGGGAAACAGTTGGTACAGGAAAGGCCGGATCAATGCCTGCTTCTTTCACTTCATATCATTTGCAGAATCATGAGCTGGTTCCTCCAAAGATAACCAATGATGAATTTGTGGATTTTAATATCTGATGTGCTTTAACCCTTAATTTTTATTCTTTCTGATGCTCCAGTGATCTCATTCCTTGGCCAGTTGGCTCCTGAGTTCTTTCAATATGATCCCAGGAGACTTTGGGAGTCTTTGATGGTTTCCTTGCTTTCTGATGCAACAAGATAGTCCAGGTTCATCTTGTCTATTTCCTGCCCCAGAACTGGAAGCAGCCATTTATCCAAGGAGCCCTGGTTCCTTTTAATAAACAGTTCCTTGTAATGAGCCCTAGTTCCTTTGAATGAGAAGCCACACTACGGGTGTTCCTTGATAACTGGGCTCTTCATTATTTCCAGATCATATTTCAGCTAAGAAATTAATACTTTTAGAGAGAAAATACATGTGTTCATACTGATACTTATGACTCAAATATAGGATTACAGGACTTTTCATTTTTGATTTTACATATATATATATATTTTAGAGAGAGAGAGAGGTAGCATGTGCACGGTGGGGGAGGGGAGGAGGGAAAGGGAGAAAGAGAATCTTTTTCATTTTTTATTGTTATGTTAATCACCATACATTACATCATTAGTTCTTGATGTAGTGTTCCATGATTCATTGTTTGTGCATAACACCCAGTGCTCCACGCAGAACGTGCCCTCTTTAATACCCATCACCAGGCTAACCCATCCCCCCACCCCCCTCCCCTCTAGAAACCTCAAGTTTGTTTTTCAGAGTCCATCGTCTCTCATGGTTCGTCTCCCCCTCCGACTTACTCCCCTTCATTCTTCCCCTCCTGCTATCTTCTTCTTTTTCTTTTTTCTTAACATATATTGCATTATTTGTGTCAGAGGTACAGATCTGTGATTCAACAGTCTTGCACAATTCACAGCGCTCACCATAGCACATACCCTCCCCAATGTCTATCACCAGCCACCCCATCCCTACCACCCCCCACCACTCCAGCAACCCTCAGTTTGTTTCCTGAGGTTAAAAATTCCTCGTATCAGCGAGGTCATATGATACATGTCAAGAAAGAGAATCTTAATAAGCAGGCTCCATGCCCAGCCCAGAGCCTGATGCACGGCTCCATCTCGCAACTCTGAGATCATGACCTGAGCCAAAATCAAGAGTTGGACGTGTGACCGACTGAGCCCCCCAGGTGCCCCTGATTTTATATTTTTATATCTTGTTTCTTGTGGTGGAAATCCTGGATTCTAACAACATTAACATAATTATTTGCATATATATATATATATATATCTTCAGAATAGCCATACCAATGCCATTACTAACAACATAATTGCTGAAAACAGCAAGATTTCTTTACAGTTCTTTTTTGTTCTTAGACTATATCCCACTAAAGATGTACATTAATTACTCGTTTTTTCCTCACTACTGTGAAAAAAGTCACTTAAAATAAAATCACCTAATTAAAGTCACCTCCTTCAAGACTTAAAATAAGACCTGTGTAAGTAAGCTACCAACCTGGTAATTAGGTTCACTTGTTTCACTTTGCCTTTGATTTTTAAGGACTGTGTTCTTATTTTGAATAAAATCTTGTTTTATAATTGCATATAACATATATACAATTCCAAAGCCAAATATACAATGTTTATACATTGTATTGTGTATTGTTCATTTAAAGTCATAGTCACAGGAAAAAGAAGAGGGAAATTGCAAAGCTCCTTTGGTCAATACAGACAACGGACAAAGAGTTATACCTTCATTTTTTAAAATAGAAATGTCGAATGAAATGTTATTACTTGGGCGATATATAATTAAGCAAAGTTACCTACTAAATTTTCTCTAATTTGGAAGATGCCACCTTTTTTAAAGACTTTTTTTTTTCAGCATATGATCACATTTCTCTGGAACCCAGACGACTTTCAAGAGTCCTCTGTTACAAATCACATTTGCAGCCAGAACCAGAGCCCGAGGAGAGGCCCACATTTTCTCTGAACAGGCTCTTGGAAATGGCTTTCTGCTGTTCTCAGGAGAGTGTCTGCTTTTCCAAACTTTCAGGTGAAGAGGGAACACCTCTTTCTTTTCTTTCTGAGATTCTCTTCACTAGAAGTTGTCAATAAGGAGGCTCTCCATGCTCAAGGCCAAGCTCCGGAATCCCATTAGACAGCAGCGAGCGCAAAGAGAAGGCCTGGGAACGCCAGCTCGGAATGTGGAGAGGAAACGAGCACTGCGGACTTCTCCGATTCTGCTCCCGGAGCTCACAAGGAGCCAAGGCCGAGGCACCTCACCTTCCCCAGCCCCCCGCCCTGCTCTTATCTGCTTTTTTTTTTTTTTAAAGATTTTATTTATTTATTTGAGAGAGAGAGAATGAGAGATAGAGAGCATGAGAGGGAAGAGGGTCAGAGGGAGAAGCAGACTCCCCGCTGAGCAGGGAGCCCGATGCGGGACTCGATCCCGGGACTCCAGGATCATGACCTGAGCCGAAGGCAGTCGCCTAACCGACTGAGCCACCCAGGCGCCCTCTTATCTGCTTTACCCAAGCAGGCTCCTCTGGAAGCTTTTTTGACTTCAGTCCTTCTCCAAAACTGGCTCCAAATTCAGAGAAGAAACTGTGGGAGGTTTTGCTTTCATGTCTTCTTTGGTGCACCCTCAAAGTTGGGGCACAACTTTGAGGCACCAAAGGGTCTGTTTGCTCATCCTGTTTCCAGAACCCACGGCTCGGCACACACAGAGGGGATGCCAGGATTCACTGGGTGTAGTTGGCAGGTCCCCAAATTTCCCAGCGGACCTCAATAATCTTATAAGAGCTTCCCTATTGTCAGACCCAGAATGTGGGAAAAGCTGTCAAGCAGAAGCTCTTCCTCTTCCTTGCGGGGCTTTGTACATATTCTGGTCAGTTTTATTCAGATTCTTATTTGTGTACTTAGCCATCGAGTGTACCTCCTCACAATGGCTGAAGGCATGCCAATGACAAAGGCTGACAGAATCACTATCAACAAAAGGACGTCCTTAGTTGATACTTTTGTAATGTCCTTTACTGTGAATAGTGACCAGGGCATGGATATGGCTGGCCCAATTATAAAGCCTTCTAGATTTAACAGTACTTAGACGAAACCCAGTCCAAAGTACTGCCGGTGTCCCAAGCTGGGGAATGATCAGCAGGCCAACTCCTCCTCCCACAACTAAAGTTAAAGAGTTCCCAGAAGTTTGTCTAGACTGAGGAATGTCCATCAACTTGATTCCCAGGCAATCCCCAGATGGTTGCCCAGGCCGGGAAAGGGTGGGCAAGATCCGATACAGTCCACTCCCCGCCCCGTGGTCATCAAAATGTGACACAGGAGGGAAAGAGCCAAGCAGGTGAATTCGCCTTCCAGACAATTCTTGTTGTCCAGGTTGAAGAATGGCTGCAGGGAGAATCCCATTGCATTTCCTCTGGGAGGTTTCCAAAAGGCTGTTTCGCTAGGCACCAGCCAGAGAAAAGCCTCTCCCCCGCTCCCCCCCCCCCTCCTGTTAGCATTCCCGAGAAGAATGTGCAAGTCCTAAAGCCAAGAAAACGTCCTCCTACCCCTGCATTCTTGACCGGAAAGAGTCAATGTGCAGGTAAAAGACCATCTTTTTAGATTTCTCCAAAAGACTACTGAGTAAATTTGAAAAAAATTAAAAATGCGTTATGGGGTTTATAAGTAATAGTAAAGCACATGATACCAAGAGCAAATCCCCAAAGTGAAAAATGGAGTTATATGTGACAACATTCTTACATTGTACGTGAATTTTCTTCAACTACATTCAACTTGATTAGATTTCCTTTGCCTCTTTTCCTTATCTGTAACTTTCTCTCATTTTCATTTGGTTTTTCCTTTGTTTCTTTCCAGTCGAATCTCTCTCCCCTTTGTGCATCTTGGATTTAGGTTTCCGAGATCATTTTTCTTTTACGTTCAGTTTCTTTCCTGGGTCCCGTCAGTTTCCATTTCACATCTGCTTGGTCCTTTCTACTTAAAACTTCTCATTTGTTTTGTGATGTCCTCACAGCTGCATTTGCTTGTCTAATTATTTTAATTCCTGTTGGAATGCTGCATTACAATTTCCTTCTGGCTTTTTTTCCCGTGTTTTCTGCTCACAAGTTTCACTTTGAATTTTCTGGTTTTGTTTTTTTCTTGCATTAGGGTGCTGGTTTATTAATGTTCATATTTGGGCATGTGAGATTTACCTGAGCAACTATTAGCAGGAGGATATGGGTGAGGAACAGGGCAGGGAGAGGGGTCCGGTGGGTCTCCAAGTCTCTCAGGGGCGCCCCCTCCTGGAGCTGCAGCAAGGCAGATTCTCCAGTATTTGGCACCTTTGTGTGTCAAGCTTCCTCTGATGCTCTGTTGCTGTAATAAGTCTCCAGGTGCCCGCCCCTTCCACGCTTCCCCCCTATACCACCTCAGACAGCCTGGGGGCCTCCCTCATCCCCAGAAGGGGCGCCTCTCCAGTACCCTCAGCTCTGGTCCTGCGCACTTTCCAAACCCCTCCTCTCTACTCCTTATCTGGGGATAGGCCTTTGTTATCTAGGTCCCGCTATTGCTAGGACTCCTCCATCTTGTGGGCAAGTTATCTGCTTCTTTATGGCTTAAAAGCTTCCCACCCATACCCAGATACCTTCCCAGCTTTAACCTTGACATCAGTGTCTGTAACAAATGACCACAAACATGGTACCTAACGCAAGAGAAATTTATTCCCTCACAGTTCTGGATACCAAATCAAGGTGTCATGAGGCCATATTCCCTATGACGGCTCTCGGGGAGAATCCTTCCTGGCCTCTTCCAGCTTCTGGTGGCTCCTGGTGGCTCCTGGTGTTTCTGGCTTGTGGCTGCCTTCCTCCAGTCTCTGCCTCTGTCTTCACATGGCCTTCTTCCCGGTGTCATTTCTTTTATAAGGACATCAGTCACTGGCTTGAGGGCCCACCCTAAATCCAGGCTGATCTCATGTCCAGGTCCTTAATTCCATCTGCAAAGAGCCTATTTCCAAATAAGTAGTCACTGGGTTACGACATGGACATGTCATTTTGGGGGAACACAATTCAACCCACTGTTATCACCTTGAATTTCCCTATAGCACAGACTCCTCTTGACCTCATGCTGATTTTGGTCAGTGAAAATGTGTGCTATAGGAAATGCCTCCTAAGCCCCTGGAATAACGATTCCACAGGGCTCCCTGGGCCTAGGAAAGGAAAAGGAGCCCTGATGGGCAAGGGGCAGAAGGAAGAGTGCTTGGGTCTTGGTGGCTGCTCACAGACATAAGCAAAACAGGGAGAATAAAGGAGAGGACATCATGGAAAGAAGGGAACAGAAAGGGAAAGCAAGGGGCAGGTCAGTCTACCTGAGGGACTTCCCGGGCCTTAGCAGTCCCCGTCCACCCCTAGGGCTCATCTCGGTCTGCCTCAGTGCCTACTTGTGGTTACCACTCTGGCCTTGATTTTTTTTTGTATTCATTTCTGATTTCTATGATTTTCTATGACAGCTATGATGTTCTCTGTCAGGTTCAGCATTACAACTTTTTGTTTAGTTATTGTCTAACTTTGTAGCAGGTTGGGGGCAGGGGCTCTTCTAAATCAGAAGTCTGCTATGTTGGTGGAAATCCTTAGGTGATTCCATTCATTATCTCATTTAATCCTCCTACAGGGTAAAAGAAATGATCATTCCCATTTCCTAAATGAAGGAATAACTATCATGCTCTTCTCCTTATTTCATACTATTTTTTATTTTTCCTAACAAATCCCTGTTTAATACGGAGTTAATGACATTTTTATTTGCAACCTAAAATTTTCGTTGGAAAAATGCTAGTTGCTATAACAGATAAGGCCTAAGAGCTCTGCAGCTTAACACAGTGAGAGTTTACTTCCTCACAGGGGGAGGAATTTACAGAGCCTCCGTTCCAGGCAGTCACTTAGGGACCTGGTTCCCTCCACTTCGTGGCTCTGCACTCCTCATGAGCCTTAGATGGCGCCCCATTCAGCCAGTGATCGGGAAAGGAGGAAAGAGAGGTTTATAGAAGCCAGCCCTGGAAATGATGGGTGTCCTTCTGCCCATATTTCACCAACCAGAACTCAGACGGCCATGAGAACAACCGCACAGGAGGCTGGGAAATGTAGTGCAGCCATGGGCCCGGGAGGAAACGAGAATGTACTTCGTACACAGCCAGAATCTCTGCCTACAGCTTTTGAATCCTTTCGCACCCTAGCATTTTCTAATTTTCTTGGAACGACTTAATGGCAAAGTTCTTATTATAATGATAGATGTCAGTTTATTCACTTGGTCCCTTAGGTAGGCATAAAATGATCTTTGCGTATTATATTTATATGAACCTGGTTTCTCCATTTCTTGGGTTAGCCTCATCTGCACATCTTTGAAAACTTACTGCACTCTTGCTTCACTTTCTTTTTACCTTCTTTGTTGGGTCCTTTGACAAAACTGCTTATTTCCGGAGATGCCACAAGGAGGCAGCGGCAGCGTAAGCAGGCAGCAGCCGGGGTACCCAGAGACAGGGGGGCCCCCATCACTCTTTGTGGTCACCCAACCTTGAGAGCTGCCCTAACTCAAATCCAGAGCTGGGGGGTCCTAGAGACCCAGGACAGTCCCTTCCCCAGGCTATCTCCTCCTGCCACAAGAGCACAAGAGCCCTAAGCTGGTTTATAGGAGTCTGTTTCTTCACAGCCGCCCCTAGAACATTTAGCTGCAGTCATGCCCACCTCTCCAGGAAAAAACCACAGTGGGGTCAGAGGGGACCATCAGATGCCTCAGTATGGCTGAGAGGAAGTCCTCAGTGTGGACTCTTGATCTGTTCCTCTCAACAGAGTGGACAGACTACCCTCAAATATTCTCTGGTCACAGATCTAGTCGTCCATTAAAAATCCGCTGTGGATACTCCACACTGAATGGAACACTTCCTACTCTTGGGAACACTTTAGTTTAGAGACCATCCTGGGGGAGAGACAAAGCCCAAGGCACGTGGTAAGTGCTCTGCAGGGGGTCTGTGCAAGGGAGGGAGGAGCAGCCTCCCTGAGGGAGAGCCACCATAACCCCCAAGGCGGCTGTGGAAGGTCACGGCAGGCTTAACGTGAGGGGCGAGCGATGAAACTAGAGAGCCCAAGGCTCAGCCCCTCGGCCTGCCCAGCCCTACATCCCCTCTGTTCCAGTCTACGGAAACCCTGAGCAGGCCCAGCCACGGAACTACGTCTGGGTTTACCTGCCCACCTGGGGCCTCCCCAGCAGGGCTCAGCCTCCGTGGCCGTGCTGAGCTCACCACGGTCGCTCAGGCTGTTGAAACCGCTGACTGTGGGAGAGAGACCCCCAGGCCTACTAGCAGTTGGCGTCCTTCTTCCCAGGAATAGGATATGAAAACCTCCCTCACCTTCTTGGCAACTATCCTTCCTTCACAGCTCACGCCTATCACCATCTGCTCAGTCCTCAGGCTCTGGGAGGCCCTGGGTCGGCCCAAGTCTTCTTCCGTCTCCACCACCACGGCTGTCTGCTCCAGATCTTGAGTTCCTGAGCCCTGAGGGCGGCGGACCCAGGCGATCGCCCCTGGTGAGCTGCACGAGCCAACGGGTTCTGAGGCGGCCTCATGAGAGGGATGGGCTAGAGGCTCCCTGGGATTTAAGTGGATAGATTCGGTGACAGGACACTAGCGTCTCAGGGGCCTCTGGGCTCAATTACCAGAGATGTTGCAAAGTTAAAGTTCACACCGAGCAATCTCTATAAAAGTTCACAACGAGCTAGCTCTACAAAAGAGAGGGGACATCTGTCCATTGAAGATGAAGCTGCAAGGGTACAAGGGAATGTAAGTTTATGGCGGCTACAGGATTCACCTTTTCCAGACTCTCTTTCTTCTGAAAGGTCGAGAAAGTTAAGCAGCCAACAAACTTGTGGGCACAGAAAGAAAAATCTGCTGGAAGGCCTCATACAGTACAAAAGTTTCCAGCATAGAAAGTATGAATAAAAATTAGGCTAAGGCCTCATTTCTGCCCATTGAGAAGTGGGCACAAAGCAGGTCCCTGATGGAGAAACTCTGTGCAGTTTGGTTCCCCTCTTTGGGCCCTTTTTACTTATTTTAAGAGGAAATAATAGGAGGAAAACATTTCCAGCTCCTGAGATCTCGTGGGTGACTACTTTTGTTATCTTTACTTTATACACATATATAAAGCATGTATAAAGTACACTATACCTTTTCTCTATACACATGTGAAAGGCCTCCACCTACTGGGCATTCACACAATTTCTGAATAAAGTCAGAAAAATATCTACACGGACAATATAAATTTTGAGGGATTTTTTTAAAGGATTTTTTAAATGAAGAAATAAACTTTTTACGTTTTGTACATCCCCGTCCTCCATTCCACCTTCATTTACTGCTGCAGGAAGCTGATGCCACAGCTTGTCCTTGGTTCAGCAAAGACCAGAAAGGCACTTAAAGTCTCTTCATTGCAGGAGCCCTCAAGTGAATGCAGTTCAGAAGGGTAATTTCCAGTGTGCCTTAACTGTTCTCCCCAGGAGAAATCCACCCTGAAGCCCAGCGCCGCAGCAGGCTCAGGTCGCACCCAGCTAGCACAGCATCTGTCCGTCACACTGGCCACCGCGGTCCCGGGTCCCAGAGGGCGCCACCTAGGCCTGCTCACCAGCACTGCCTCCGCTGGCCCCCGAGCCTCTGGTGGGGGCCTGAGCATCTGAGAAGCGTGAGGCCTGCTTGGGCAGGCGGATGGGGACGTAGATGTTGGATGCACAGTGCTCCTTGAGGTACTCTCCTCCCTTCTCTTCATACTCTTTCCTGGTGATCCAGACTTCATCATCGTCCAGGTGGTCCAAGGCCCAGTCCCGAGCACCATACCAGGCATCCAGCACAGGGTTGGAAGCAAGCTGAACCTGAAACACAAAGAGCACTCAGTAGAGGGCCGTCTCCCCCTCAGGGCTCGAGGAGCGAGCGTTCAGCAGACCCAGCCGCAGCCCCCTCCCTACGTGGTATCCCCAGAAATACACACGTGGGAGGGCCCTGGTGCATAACTGTCTGCACCCTCCAAATACAGCTGAGCTGAGATGCTGCAGACTCTCCAAGAGAGCACACAGAATGCAGAACACACCAGACTCGACCTCACAGAATCAACGGTTGCGGGCTCTTTCATGAACACCCACCTGCCGCTATGGGCCAGAGAGGGCCCAGCTGCCCCCCTCCTGTTCCAATGCTGTCGACCACAAGCTGCCAGATGGAGAGAGGAAGCGGAGCGGGCACTCCACCTGGAGGAAAGGCCTTCCCATCCTGATGCCCACTCTGTGAGAGGCTTCTCGAGAAGCAGAGGCTGATACGAGGTGGGTCTCGCTATGGTGACCAATGAGCCTCAGGAGCAGAGAGCACAGAGAAGGGGCTGGGGTGTTGTCCAGGACGTTGCCAGTGCTGTTTCCATTGCTTATTATCGGAGCAAGGCCGTGGTCAGCAGCCCCGGGGAGCCCCTCAACTCAGCTGACCTGATCAGAGCAGGGAACATCCTCTGTAGCTCAAACCAGGCTTCCTGTTTCCCAGAGTCGCCACCTGCTTTCCCACCTCCCTCCTACCTCCCTCCCCCAACCACAGGAGCTCCAGGTTGGAATGGTGGTTTCAGAACT